GAACCACTATCATATATTCACATTTCAGAGCGGTTAAGATGTTAACCGCTCTTAAAAGTGAACATATGATAGCAGCTCCACCTTAACCGCTATCTAAAGTCTCGATTATTTGAATATATTTTGATGTAAAATTATATATATATATATATATATATATATATATATATATATTTTTAAATATAATTTATATTAATTACTTTAATATAAAATATATATTCCACAATATAATTTATTTTCATATATATATATATATATATATATATATATATAGAAATTAAAATAAATTATATTTTAGAATATATAATTTTTCAAATGATCGATTACTTTTCCAAATGATCGATCACTTTTTCAAATAATCGAGACTTTAGATAGCGGTTAACGTGGAACCGCTATCATATCTTCACATTTAAGAGCGGTTAAGCCGCAACCGCTCTTAAAAGTGAACATATGATAAGCGGTTCAGCGTTAACCGATATCTAAAGTCTCGATTATTTGAATATATTTTGATGTAAAATTATATATATATATATATATATATATATATATATATATTCTAAAATATAATTTATATTAATTACTATATTATAAAATATATATATTTTTTTCTTTATTTTATATCATTATATAAATTAATTATAAAGATTATATTCTATCATTAAATTACAAATTCATATAAAGAGACTTACTCACAAATTTGACATCAAATTTTGAAAACCCACTTGACGCACACTTTTACTCTCGAGCGCGCTCTCACATCCAACATATAAATATATAAATATATTTGTATTTGTATTTATATATTTTATATTTATATATTTACATGGATATACATTTTTATTTGTATATAAATATAATTTATGTATAAGTTATTATTAGAAAATCCTGGTAGCTTAGTGGTTGGAGTATCAGCATTTGACTCTAACGTCATCGGGTTCGAATCCGTCGATAGCAATTCTCTTAATTTTATAAAAAGACTTTCTACATCGGTTCATCCGAGAACCGATGTAGAAAGTGTTTTCTACATCGGTTCCTAACTAAACCGATGTAGAAAGTCTTGAATTCACTTCCTACATCGGTTCTTAAAGAACCGATGTGGAAAGCCCGATGTTAAAAGTGATTTACGTACTAGTGTATATATTTCACAATATAACTTATTTTCATTTATATATATATTATAGAAATTAAAATAAATTATATTTTAGAATATATAATTTTTCAAATGATCGATTACTATTTCAAATGATCGATCACTTTTTCAAATAATCGAGACTTTAGATAACGGTTAACGTGGAACCGCTTATCATATGTTCACATTTAAGAGCGGTTAAGATGTTAACCGCTCTTAAAAGTGAACATATGATAGCGGTTCCACCTTAACCGCTATCTAAAGTCTCGATTATTTGAATATATTTTGATGTAAAATTATATATATATATATATATATATATATATATATATATATATATTATAGAAATTAAAATAAATTATATTTTAGAATATATATATTTTTCAAATGATCGATTATTTTTCCAAATGATCGATCACTTTTTCAAATAATCGAGACTTTAGATAGCGGTTAACGTGGAACCGCTATCATATCTTCACATTTAAGAAGCGGTTAAGATGTTAACCAGCTCTTAAAAGTGAACATATGATAGCGGTTCCAACTTAACTACTATCTAAAGTCTCGATTATTTGAATATATTTTGATGTAAAATTATATATATATATATATATATATATATTATATATATCTAAAATATAATTTATATTAATTACTATAATATAAAATATATATTCCACAATATAACTTATTTTCATATATATATATATATATATATATATATATTATAGAAATTAAAATAAATTATATTTTAGAATATATAATTTTTCAAATGATCGATTATTTTCCAAATGATCGATCACTTTTTCAAATAATCGAGACTTTAGATAGCGGTTAACGTGGAACCGCTTATCATATCTTCACATTTAAGAGCGGTTAAAATGTTAACAGCTCTTAAAAGTGAACATATGATAGCGGTTCCAACTTAACCGTTATCTAAAGTCTCGATTATTTGAATATATTTTGATGTAAAATTATATATATATATATATATATATAATATATAATATATAGTTATATATATAGAATATATATTTTATATTATAATAATTAATATATAATATATATTTTATAATATAATATATATATATATATATATATATATATATATTATAGAAATTAAAATAAATTATATTTTAGAATATATAATTTTTCAAATGATCGATTATTTTTCCAAATGATCGATCACTTTTTCAAATAATCGAGACTTTAGATAGCGGTTAGCGTGTAGGCACTTATCATATCTTCACATTTAAGAGCGGTTAAAATGTTAACCAGCTCTTAAAAGTGAACATATGATAAGCGGTTCCACCTTAACCACTATCTAAAGTCTCGATTATTTGAATATATTTTGATGTAAAATATTATATATATATATATATATATATATATATATATATATATATATTCTAAAATATAATTTATATTAATTACTATAATATAAAATATATATTCCACAATATAACTTATTTTCATTTATATATATATATATATTATATATTATAGAAATTAAAATAAATTATATTTTAGAATATATAATTTGTCAAATGATCGATTACTATTTCAAATGATCGATCACTTTTTCAAATAATCGAGACTTTAGATAGCGGTTAGCGTGGAATCGCTATCATATGTTCACATTTAAGAGCGGTTAAGATGTTAACTGCTCTTAAAAGTGAACATATGATAGCGGTTCCACCTTAACCGCTATCTAAAGTCTCGATTATTTGAATATATTTTGATGTAAAATTATATATATATATATATATATATATATTCTAAAATATAATTTATATTAATTATTATAATATAAAATATATATTCCACAATATAACTTATTTTCATATATATATATATATTATAGAAATTAAAATAAATTATATTTTAGAATATATAATTTTTCAAATGATCGATTATTTTTCCAAATGATCGATCACTTTTTCAAATAATCGAGACTTTAGATAGCGGTTAGCGTGGAGCAGCTATCATATCTTCACATTTAAGAGCGGTTAAAATGTTAACCACTCTTAAAAGTGAACATATGATAGCGGTTCCACCTTAACCGCTATCTAAAGTCTCGATTATTTGAATATATTTTGATGTAAAATTATATATATATATATATATATATATATATATATATTCTAAAAAATAATTGATATTAATTACTATAATATAAAATATATATTCCACAATATAACTTATTTTAATATATATATATATATATATATATATTATAGAAATTAAAATAAATTATATTTTAGAATATATAATTTTTCAAATGATCGATTACTTTTCCAAATGATCGATCACATTTTCAAATAATCGAGACTTTAGATAGCGGTTAGCGTGAGACCGCTATCATATCTTCACATTTAAGAGCGGTTAAGATGCAACCGCTCTTAAAAGTGAACATATGATAGCGGTTCAGCGTTACCAGCTATCTAAAGTCTCGATTATTTGAATATATTTTGATGTAGAATTATATATATATATATATATATATATATATATATATATTCTAAAATATAATTTATATTAATTACTATAATATAAAATATATATTCCACAATATAACTTATTTTCATTATATATATATATTATAGAAATTAAAATAAATTATATTTTAGAATATATAATTTTTCAAATGATCGATTACTATTTCAAATGATCGATCACTTTTTCAAATAATCGAGACTTTAGATAGCGGTTAACGTGGAGCCGCTATCATATCTTCACATTTAAGAGCGGTTAAGATGCAATCAGCTCTTAAAAGTGAACATATGATAAGCGGTTTCAGCGTTAACCGCTATCTAAAGTCTCGATTATTTGAATATATTTTGATGTATAATTACACATAATATATATATATATATATATATATATATATATATATATATATATATATTCTAAAATATAATTTATATTAATTACTATAATATAAAATATATATTCCATAATATAACTTATTTTCATTTATATATATATATATAGAAATTAAAATAAATTATATTTTAGAATATATAATTTTTCAAATGATCGATTACTATTTCAAATGATCGATAACTTTTTCAAATAATCGAGACTTTAGATAGCGGTTAACGTGGAATCGCTATCATATGTTCACATTTAAGAGCGGTTAAGATGTTAACCGCTCTTAAAAGTGAACATATGATAAGCGGTTCCACCTTAACCGCTATCTAAAGTCTCGATTATTTGAATATATTTTGATATAAAATTATATATATATATATATATATATATATATATATATATATATGAATATATAAGTTATATTATGGAATATATATTTTATATTTTAGTAATTAATATAAATATATATTTCATAATATATATATATATATATATATATATATATATTATAGAAATTAAAATAAATTATATTTTAGAATATATAATTTTTCAAATGATCGATTATTATTTCCAAATGATCGATCACTTTTTCAAATAATCGAGACTTTAGATAGCGGTTAACGTGGAACCGCTATCATATCTTCACATTTAAGAGCGGTTAAGATGTTAACAGCTCTTAAAAGTGAACATATGATAGCGGTTCCACCTTAACCGCTATCTAAAGTCTCGATTATTTGAATATATTTTGATGTAAAATATATATATATATATATATATATATATATATTCTAAAATATAATTTATATTAATTACTATAATATAAAATATATATTCCACAATATAA